GGTATTCCACTCAAGGATCAGATGAAAATTGCCAAAGATATGGCCTTCGCGGTGGGTGATATTGGGCTCCCATGCATTTTTCAGCATTTTTGAGGGGGACCCCTCAGAAAAATTGACAAAAAAGTGAAAAAATAATTTATTCCAAATTTTGATGCAGATTTATTAGGAATCGATCCACAATTCGATTAAGGTATTCCGCTCAAGGATCAGATGGAAATTTCCAAAGATATGGCCTTCGCGGTGGGTGATATTGGGCTCCCATGCATTTTTCAGCATTTTTGAGGGGGACCCCTCAGAAAAATTGACAAAAAAGTGAAAAAATATTTTGTGTCCAGATTTTGATGCAGATTTATTGAGAATTGATCCACAATTCGATTAAGGTATTCCGCTCAAGGATCAGATGGAAATTGCCAAAGATATGGCCTTCGCGGTGGGTGATGTTGGGCTCCCATGCATTTTTCAGCATTTTTGAGGGGGACCCCTCAGAAAAATTGACAAAAAAGTGAAAAAATATTTTGTGTCCAGATTTTGATGCAGATTTATTGGGAATCGATCCACAAATCGATTAAAGTATACCGCTCAAGGATCAGATGGAAATTACCAAAGATATGGCCTTCGCGGTGGGTGATATTGGGATCCCATGCATTTTCAGCATTTTTGAAGTGGACCCCTCAGAAAAATTGGCAAAAAAGTGAAAAAATAATTTGTGTCCTGATTTTGATGCAGAATAGTGGAGAATCGATCTACAAATTATTTGAAGCATTCCTTTTAAGGATCGGATAATAATTGGCAGAGATGTGGGGATTTGCAGTGGATCATATTGCGCTCATGCCTATTTTTCAACATTTTTGAATACCACCGAATAGAGAATACCAACAAAAGATGCTAAGTTATTTTTTTGCCTCAGCTCTTAAATAAAATATTTCACAAATGTAATGACCCATAATAAAGTCTTTATGGCTTACATGTGCACTATTTCTTACATGAATCTTTGAAAAATCAGAATCTAAAAATTTTAAAAGAAAATCTCTCTTATTTTCTTATTAACCAAAAAATATATGATGAAAGTTCAGGAAGGAAATTGTCACTTATTAGATGAATCAATACGGTGGAATTTATTTAAAAATTGCACTCGAAATGCAAGCAAATTACTAGTAATTTTTACAATTTTCTCCCATGGTGGGTGTGCCATTCTGGAAATTTCCATATTCTAGATGAGTGCCTTTTAAGATCCAATTAAACTGCACTGAATTATTAATCATCTGAATGCATTAAATTAGGCTTGTTCCAGGCAACTGCGGACTATTAATTAAACAAGTCCGCCGCTAAAGACGACGATCTGACTTTTGAGATAATGTGGAAGGTTAAGGCTGACAATCGGATGAGTTGTTTTTAAGCGAAAAAATAAACACATGTACATGAGGTGACATAGAGCTCGAAATATTCCTTTTTATGACCAACCGCATCATGCAAGTGGAAATGGGCTTAGTTCAGGGGTTTGGCCGAGTGGTTGGTTCGGTTTATGCCACTCATGATTGTCATTCGCCACGCCCACGCAGCATAATAAACACAAATAGACTTTTAGTTGATTACATGACCAGATATGTGGCACGCTTCCTCTTGGATAATAGACATTTTATATTTTAAATGAAGAAATTATATCACATTAAGTTAATTACATAGTCATTTTTCAGCAAGACCTCCTCAAACATTTCTACTTGCTATTTATAATATTGATTATTTTTTCGAGAAATTTTAAGGTTGAAAATATATTTTTGGGCTCATTGTATTCGAACGTCAGACGTTTGAAGTAAAAATAAACACAAATGAGCTAAGGAAAATATCGCGCAAGTGCATAAATATTAATAAATCATGGAAAAATAAGCTGTAGGAGATCGCTGGCTAGAATTTGTTTACGATTTTCCTCTGGGTTTTTGTTTATTTTTCAAGATATTGAATACATGATTTTCTTTTATATAAAATAAGAAATAAAATACACTCCTTGCATGTTTTTCCTCAATCCTTCAATATCCTTCAGCAGCTTTAATCTCCCCCTTTTGAAGCATAGCTCCCCCTTTATTATGCTGCTTTTGCGAACCCTTTTTCCTTTTGGTTCAGTGAACTCCTGCTTGGCTTTTTGTTGCACATTTAAATGGGAAATCACGCCCACGCACTTTACAAACTCCCCAGAGCTTACTCCGCCTAATTAGCTGCAACTTCATGGGTACTCCGTGGTGGAAAGACGAGAAACGCACCTGAATTAAAAACCAGCAACAGCGAGAATAAGCCAAGTAGAAGGCAGCCTGTTGAACCGTAGGACGTCATGTCTTTTCCTTTTTTTTGTTTAGCGGGAAACTGCAGGTGAATAAATGAATAATTATTTACACAACACTAGCACACACTGCACTTAAAAATGGGGCTTTGGAATTTTTCCTTCAAGTAGATTTTCTTTAATTTTTTTTACAGAGAGACCCCAAAAAATGATGTGGTTTGGTATTTTTTTCGTTTACCCGTAGCACGCATGCGACCCGTTGACAATCTGACTGCGAAATGAAACTCGGGCCGAAAGCTGAAGCTGAAAAGGCGACAGTTGAATTGAACAAATAACAAAACGAACTCAACCCCAAAATCCACACGAGTGCCGATCGTTGAAACCCGACGATTGAAACAGTGAGAGCGCAATTGAAAGGGGGTTTTCGTTCAACGAGAAGAATATTTTCCATTACTAAAGGGGGGGGACAACTGGAGGGCAGTTCGACAGCGGATTGGATTGAGTGGCTAGGAGTTGAACGAAGTGGAACTGCATTGGTCTGGGTCGGTTTACGGGTTTCAGTGCCCCAAGATATGGCTGCCACAAACACTTGCAGTTTCAATGTTAATGACAGTGGGGCGATATTCATATATTTTTTCACTTAATTTTAAGCTTTAAAAAATAATCTATGAAATATGTACATACATATAACTTAGAATCATTAAATTTAATGTTTCTGAGCCCTTAAAACTGAATCTAAGACTAGTTTATTAACTTTAACTATTAAAAATCCTTTACAAATTATAATATTGTTATATTCAAATGATTTAATATTTTTTATTTTAAAATAATATTAACATCCCTTCTCTTGCCCCACTGTCTCATTCGGTCAATGCGTTTTGCCACACCATTTGCCGCCTAATGGCCACTCATTCTCCTCAGACAGTTTCAATTGAATGCTGACTTCGATTTGGCCATCAGTGTCGCCGTCTAATCAAGTGCAAGTTTTTGATAAGGAAATGCACTGTTGGCACTTTGCTGCTTTCCACCAAGAGAGAGAGAGAAAGAGAGAGTGTAACTCTTGCCACAAAATGTTGCAAATACTTGATGCACTTTCAATTGCTGACGCCGAGTGTGGTTTATTGTTTGTTTTGGTTAGGACTGCGCTTGAATGATTGCACTCGAATTTATTGAAATTTTATTAGCATTTTTGGTTCAGTCATAAAAACTTTAGATTTTGATGACATTTTTTTAGGTTTTTGTTGAATAAAAACAAATGTGAGAACTCAAGACATTTATAGAAAAATATCATAAATTTTATATAATTATGGAACTTAAGTATGTATATGAACCAAGTCCAGACAAACCAGTTCAATGCCCAGACAAACAATAAGCCAATCATTTTCCTACGAAATTAGTATCTACCTCAAGCCAGAAAACCTATTTCTTATAAACCAAATATTGAGGTCCTCTACTACCCCCAATACGGGTCCTGTATTCAAACTCAAATAAAGGAAAGAAAACCCTAATGGAAAATCTAGTAAGACAATGTACCGGAGCATGAAAAATGAGTTGGCAAGTTCATTGAACATGAAATATGTCACTTCTGACAAGAAAGTCCAATAATCCACGCCTCCCGAGTGGAAACCAAACAAGACCCCATATGGGGGATGATAATACTAACAAGAATACAAAAACTCTATGGAGTAGATGGATTTCGGTTGATATGCAAAGCCAAGAAAATTGGTAACAATTTTAGGGCAATGACGTTTGGTGATGGCCGTTTTCTCAGGGGTGTGTATTAGTTCGCGTTCTACCGATTTATTGATGAAATTCCTTTAATGGCTACAAACAAATTAGAAAATAATTGAAGCCCAGGTTCAAGGAATCGATTAGCGTTTATGTTGCTAATTATGCTGAAAGTCATTAGGAAAGGATTAGTCATTTAAGATACAAATAAGAAAGTAATTAATTAAAGACCAAGTTTTTTGAAGTAATTTTTATTCCAAATCTGATCTTGTCACGTTTTTGGATGTGAAATCTTATTTACTTAAACAATTCTCATATGCGTCTCAGTCACTGACAATGATTATGGCAAATTGCTGCTGAAAACAGATTCGTTTGCCTAACTAAATAATAAACCTTAATTATAGGTGGGTTGGCCTGGCAACTTCACAAAAAAAAAGCACAAAATTTTACAACTGGGAGTGCTTTTTATCTGCAACAATTTACTTACAACAGCGGAAATGGAGCTCAGTAATTGCGTGGCTCCAAAAATCTTAATTACTGGCAATTAAGATATTAAAAAATACATCCCAAAGACTTTACAATATAAAGGAAGTAATTAAGCAAGCGAATCAGACTCTAAAATGTCACGAAAGGCGTTTTAATATGAAGATTATAAAATTATGATGTAAGCATTATAATTTTGGTAAGAAATTAAATAAGTTTTATATTATATGGTAATATATGTAAAAAAAATAGTTTATATATTAGCCTAATTGTTTATTATTTAAAATTTGTTTTCTTTATGTTTTAATTAAAATTAAACTTAAATTTCTTCAACCATCGATCACCATTTGGGACTTTTAAACGAATCTCGTAAGGGAAATTCCTTCTAGCGCATACATCAACCATTAAGTCGATACAAAAACCCATTTACTTCAACCCTCAAACTTAAAGAAACTAATTATTTAAATCACCATAACAACCAATTATTAACCAAAACAGAAACTGTATTTTTTTTCTTAGTTGCCGCAAATAGTAGTAGTTCTGAAAATGAAGTTGAAAACGCGTTTTTGTAAAAAGAATTCCTTAAAAACCAATGAAGAAAATGAAGAAAGTACCCAGAAAAATACAAACTATCCCTTGATTTGCGTGGACTGGAGTAGCAATGAAGAGATATATTTTGTGAGGTAGGTTTGTGTACCTTTCTTTAGTATTCAAGTTAAATAATTAAGGATTCCTTTCTATAACCCCCAGTGATGACCATCAAATCTTTAAATGGAGTGATGTTAGTCGGGATTCCGTGGAGGTGGCCAAACTGCCGGATGACTTTGTGCCCACGGACCTGCATTGGCTTCTACTGGGTGGCCGGGGCAGTGGCGGTGGCAAGGGCAACGACACCCTTCTCGTTTGCAGCAACGATGGCCGGTTTGTTATTTTGAACAAAAGTGCCCGGGTGGAAAGAAGCATCTCCGCCCACGGAGCTGCCATTAGTTCTGGTCGCTGGAGTCCGGATGGTGCTGGTCTGCTTACTGCCGGCGAGGACGGAGTGATCAAGATCTGGTCAAGATCGGGTATGCTCCGCTCCACCGTAGTGCAGAACGAGGAGGCCATTCACTGTGCCCGCTGGGCGCCCAACTCCACCTCGATTGTCTTCTGCCAGGGTGGACATATTTCGATAAAACCGTTGGCTGCCAATAGTAAAATAATTAGGGTGAGTCCTGGATTATACCTCCAATTCTGATATTAATTTCATTATCCTTTTCAGTGGCGTGCCCATGATGGCTTGGTTCTGTGCCTAAGTTGGTCGACTCAATCCAATGTAATAGCTTCTGGTGGGGAGGACTTTCGGTTCAAGATCTGGGATGCCCAGGGAGCCAATCTCTTCACGAGTGCAACCGAAGAACATGCCATTACCAGTGTGGCCTTTAATCCTGAAAAGGATTACCTTCTAGTGGGAACTTTTAATCTTCTCAAGCTATGTCACTCTACAGGAGTAAGTCTTGTATATGAAAACCATTAAGACCCATAGTAACATTCTATTTTCTGTAGTGGACCTACAGCAGCTCTAGGTTTTCGGCACCGATTGTAGGTTCGCTTTTCAGCCTCTCCTGGTCAGCGGATGGCACTCAGGTGGCATGTGGCACCTCCACGGGTCAGCTAATTGTAGCCTTTGCCGTCGAGCAGGAAGCCATCTCCAATAACCTGAAAGCTATCAGCAATAGCCGGAAGTCCATCACCCTCAGGGACATTTCCACTGGCACTCGCGATGTCCTGGACTTTCCCCAACGAGTGATTAACTTTGCTTTGGGTTATGGACACCTGGTGGTGGCCACCACCCATCAGGTGCACATCTACAATGAAAAGTATATTAATACACCGATAATAATTGATGGACGAAATGATACAAGGGTTATACAAGTTGGCAAGAAGTGAGTTTACTTTCTGTAACTAACAAAGGCTATCTACTAAGTAGTTCCCTTTATCATTCAGATACTTTATGATTTTGGATGCCACATCCATTTGGGTGTACACCTACACGGGTAGGCTACACCTGAATCCCCGTTATCCTGGATCCCAGGCTCAAATTCCTTTGCTCACCTGGCGCTCTATTTCCTTGGGCTTGGATGTCCTCGCCATTCGCGATAACTCCGATCCCACGCTGGTCTACTTGTTCGATTTGATTCCCGGTGCCTCGCGGCAGTATGAACCGCACTCCCTGAGGGCCAAGCAGCAGCTGGCCGAGATTGCAGCCTGTCGGGCGGGAACGCCGGATGATCAGTTCGTGTCCTTCATCGACACTAATCGGGAGCTATTTGTGAGTGAGTCGAGGAATCTGAATGGGGAACGTTCCGACGAGATCTACAAGATCGGCACCCAGTTGACGGCCATGATGTGGGCCAGTGAGACGAATATCCTGGTGGGGGTTCATGACTCCTGCTACAGTATTTGGTATTGCCCAGGGGAAGGTGCCTCCGATCCCACAATCATAGCTTTGACTACAGTTTCTTTGGACACGGCGTAAGTTTCTATACTAATCATTGTAATATCCTTTCAGGAAGACTTACAAGTTCCAGATATTTAAATCCTTTATCATTTCAGAGAATTTGGCAAACACATAACCATTGAGAGCTTCGAGGACTCGGTGGTCACCTTCTGCAGTGCCGGCGCCCGTCTACCCGTGACCGTAAACCTCTACTGCGAGCTCCTCCATCGTGCCCTGCTCGAGGGCCAGTGGCCGCAGGCGCTGAAGATCTGCCGTCTGGCCCAACACGCCAATTTGTGGGCCACCCTGGCGGCGGTCGCCACCCGAAAGCACCAGCTCCAGATCAGCGAGGAGGCCTATGCGGCCGCCCTGCAGATCGACAAGGTCAGTTACCTGCAGCACCTGAAGACACTGACGCCCTCGAGTGCCGAGCAGATGGCGGAGAACTCTCTGATGCTGGGCAGGATGTTGGAGGCGGAGACGATTCTTCTGCATGGTCGGAAGTACGAGCAGGCGGTGGGTCTAGCTCTGAGGATGCACAATTGGCGGAGAGCCCTGGAAATCGCCCAGAAGCACCAGTCCGAGGTGCCGGATCTGTTTCAGAAAGTGCTCCAGGAGCGACGAAAGTATATCAAGGCTCTGCAGCGTGAAGAGTGGGATCCACTTTACTTGCCACATGTGGTAAAGGATGAGGTTGATAATACTCCTAGTGAATAAACAGAATATCTTCTTAGAATCTTGGTTTGTAGGAAATTTAATTTATGCTCTTTTTTATTAAAAAATCTATTTAATAAGCAGGTGAGGGCATGGGTTCTCCGGCCAATCCTTTTAAAATATTTTGGGCTGCCAAACTGGCGGCATCAACTCGGGTTCTTTTTGTGGCATAGCCCACATGAGGAGTGACGACTGTAACGCAAAAAAAAAAGCATTATTGAAGTACTTCTGATAATGGTTACTTGAGAGATACAAGATAAAGATGTCAAGAGTTGTGAAATGTGTGTGTTTGTCTTAAGAGTTTGCTGACAACCAAACTAAAGTGTCAAATATTACCAAACATAAATCATTAAATTATTTATTATGCCTACCAACATTATCCAAAGCCAGCAACTTGTCATTGCAACGCAAAGGCTCTGGGACCATGACATCCAAGCCAGCGGCGAAAATGCGATTAGATTTCAAGGCCTCATAGAGGTCGTCCTGGTTGACAATTTCTAAATAAAAAAATTTATTTTTAATGTCCATATAATAGTTTTAATTTATAAACTTACTGCCCCTGCCAATGTTAACCAGAACAGACGTTGTCTTCATTTTATTAAAGGCTGTGGCATTGAAGAGTCCTTCAGTTTCTGGAGTTAGCGGGGAGGCTATAACCACAAAGTCACTTTCCGCCAGGAGGGTATCAAAGTCCACTTTTGTGGCATTGAACTTTTTCTCAATATCCTCGCTGACTCTGCTCCTGGTGGTGTAAAGGACACGTCCAATCTCGAAACCGGAAAGACGCTTGGCAATGGCCTGACCGATTCCACCGAAACCATAGAAGCCCACTGTGGAATCCTGAATGTCCTGGCCAAGCATCCAATTACGGTGATGGGTTTCCCAGTTATTGCTTAAAAGGCAAGGGAGGTTTAAAAGGATTTTAAGATTTACTGAATATTAGTCTCACCTGTCGATCTTTCTTCTACCTTCCTGGAATCTTCGGGCTGCAGCGATCAGCAAGCCCACAGCCAAGTCAGCAACCGCCACTACCAACATGGCAGGAGTGCTTCCCAGGGGTATTCCTCGCTTTTTCAACTCCGGCACATCCACATTGTTGATGCCCGAGGACATGGTGGACACCACCTTGAACTGAGGACCTGCGGCATCTAGAACCTCGGCATTCAGCAGATCCCGACCACCCCAAATGGCAGCATGAACTCCCTTGATCTTCTCCAATATCTCAGCCCTATTTTTGGGGTAATCGTTCACAATTCGAATGACTTCGCACTTCTCTCTAAGGAGTTTCAGCCCCTCCTCGGGAACATCAGTGTGTGCTATCAGCACTTTATATGTCTTGTTTGTTGACATAGTTCTAAGGGCTTTAATGATCAAACAAAGAGATTATTTGATGGTCAAAACAATTACAAGTCTTGGAACACAGAGCATGCAAAAATAACTCTCTTTTAATGCAAAAGCTTTGGCTTACTATTCGCAATTCTCTTCATTAGCTTTTAATCTCTTAAAAATGGGGAACTATTGTATAACTAGTGTTTGGGTATTATCTGTAGAGACTTCTTCACTGTGGCACGTTTGCCAAACAACTGAACTATCAGCTTTGGGGGTATACTCTTTTGTAGAGAAGCAGATATCACTAAAAAGAAAGCTAAGCATATTTAAAGCTTTGTTGGTGATAATATGTCGGAAAATTAAACAACTGTCAGTTTATAAAATAACTACTATAAGACACTAGTAAGAGCAGTATAGTCAAAGAGGTATGTTTTTCTATAGTTATGTATATATTTTATTAACAAAATATTTTCTGTAAATGTACAAATTTGTTCCTTTTTCTCTATTTATTTAATAAATTCATTTTTTAATATGCAGGTCTCACCATGGGTTTTCCATCCATGGCATTAATAATATTATTGGCAGCCAGAAGACTCATTTCGGTGGTGGTTTTCCAGGTTTGAGTGCCCATATGGGGAAGGATAACTACAATACATGTTTAAATTAATATAAATACTAATTTAAAATTTGTATATAATTTATACTAACCACAATTCGGTAGAGTTAAAAGTGGATTATCAGCGGGCAGTGGTTCTGGGGTGGTAACATCCAATCCAGCGGCAAAAATCTTTCCAGTAGTCAAAGCATCATAAAGATCGGGTTGGTTAACAAGGCCTATAACAAGATTTATTATCATTAATATAAAAAATATATTTTTTAAATAAATATTCAAGAACACTTACCACCACGAGCCACATTAACGAAAACCGAACTCTTTTTCATCAACTCGAAGGCCTTGCCATTGAACTTGTCCCTAGTTTCGTTGGTCAGAGGAGCAGCTACCACCAAGAAATCGCTTTCCTGCAAAAGTTGCTCAAAGGACACATGCTGAGCTTTGTAGTCGACATCGTTCTCCTTACGCGTCCGGGTGTGGTAGATAATCTTAGCCACATTCCAGCTCTGCAACCGCTGGGCAATGGCCTGACTAATGCCACCAAATCCAAAGAAACCGATCACCGAATCACGAATCTCCTGGCCCATCATCCAGTTTATTTGCTCCGTTTTCCATTGGGATCTAGTGAGGGAGATATTTTGAATATATTTCAGCAACTTGACAACCCTTATCAGTGTAGCTTTTTATGCCAAAAGCTCTCTCTGTGGCAAGCAGCTGTTTTTCAACTTCTTACCTTTCGATTTCAGTGCGTCCAGCATGAAAATGACGACCGGCGGAAATCATCAATCCAATTGCCAGATCAGCCACCGAATTCTTGACCACCCCAGGGGTGTGCCCAAGTGGAATTTGTCGCTTTTTGAATTCCGGAATATCCACAAAATCTATCCCCGATGACATGGTACTGACACAACGTAACTGCGAACCGGCAGCATCCAGAATTCCGGCATTTAGGGCCTGATAGTGGGCCCAGTAGATGGCATCCACACCGGGAACTTTCTGCAGGATCTCCTCCCTGCAGGGGGGCACACTCTGGCAGATAATGGTCTCGGCTCCACGGGATCTAAGTAGTTCCAGAGCCGGTGGCGGTACATTTGGATGAGAGACGAGAACTTTGAAGGCACGACGGGACATGGCGTGTATATATAGGATATATATTCCTTTACAGAACTATCACCAGTCAGTTTCAGCGTTAAACACTTGACTGTTTAGTGGAAAATTTTCCAACCGAAAATAAACCTCAAGCTTTCGCCAGTTCTCTCTGAACTTATGATGCTCTTAAGGTGGGAAAACTCTCTTAAGCTAGAAACTATTTGCTCGCAAATATTCAGGAAATATTCATAGTAAGCTTAATTGTTTATTATTATGGTTGTCATGGCACTCTTCCAAAAGATCCTTTTGTTTGTTTATGAATTTAATTCAACCCTAAATAAAAATTTAAAAAATAACTGGCAATAGTTTTGGCATAATTGAAACAAAATAATTATTTTTTTCTATGTAAAGTGAACTGAAAATAATTGTTTAAAAATAATATTCCAAGCCCAAAGCCTCTATGTTAATTAAGCTCTTGGCTTAAGTGCACTCTGGTTTCTATTGTAATTAAAATAGTTTTTTATTTTCACATTTACAAACATGGCAAGGCCACTGGTGGCCTGGTGGCCTTTCACACCTGGCTGGTCTGGTTTCCCACACAAATTTCCATTGGAATTTGATTTTGAATTTCCTAGTAGGCGGGCGACAGCATGGGCTCCCCGGCCAGGCCGCGGAGAACATTGTGGGCGGCAATGGTGGCCATGTCGGCGCGGGTTCGCTTGGTGGCAGATCCAATGTGGGGCAGGATAACTGAAAGTGAACAAAAAATTCAATTAAGCTAAAGGTTAAAGTGGTCACTTTTACTCGGTTTGGGTCTTTTTTTTTATTGTAACCTTCAAAAAACCTTAATAAAATCTCTCAAAATACTCCCAGACCATGTCAACTACCAAGCAGATAAGAAGAAATCACAAAAATTGATAAGGAATGCTACCCAAGGTGGGGGCCTCAAAAGCAGGACAGGGTGATATCAATAAACCGAATTTAGTTTGATTACCCCCCATTCCACTTACCGGCATTGTCAAGTGTCAGCAGCTTGTCTGTGGGCGACAGGGGTTCCGGATCCGTGACGTCCAGGCCAGCGGCGAAGATTCGGTTGGACTTCAAGGCCTCGTAAAGGTCGTTCTGGTTGACGATTTCTTTGAGGGACAAGAACCATGAGTTATTAGAAGATGTGTGTATAACTAAAGGGCTTCCAACTTACTTCCTCGGGCAATGTTGACCAGCACGGCGGTCTCCTTCATCTTGTTGAAGGCGGTGGCATTGAACACGCCCTCGGTATCCTTGGTCAGGGGCGAGGCAATGACAATGAAGTCACTTTGAGCTAGCAGGGTATCGAAGTCGACCTTCTTGGCATTGTGCTCCTCCTCGATTTCCTTGGCAACACGACGGCGGGTGGTGTACAGGACGCGATCAATGTCGAAGCCGGAAAGGCGCTTGGCAATAGCCTGGCCAATACCGCCAAAGCCATAGAAACCCACGGTGGAGTCACGAATGTCTTGGCCCAGAAGCCAGTTCAAGTGGTAGTTCTCCCATTGGTCACTAAATGAAGGATATTTTATAAATAGAGGTTTATAAACCCTCTTTGGGTTTTATGTCAAAAATCGAACATTTTTAAAAACAAGATTAGGTTACTTTCTCAAAGTTTGATTAGATTTGTTTACTATTTGAAAAATTAAAGTAAAATCCTAAAAATAATATTAACTCACTTGTCGATCTTCTTGCGTCCCTCGTGGAAACGACGACTGGCGGCAATGACGAGACCCACTGCCAAGTCAGCGACAGCCGTGTTGAGAACTGTGGGTGTGTGTCCCAATGGAATCTTGCGCTTCTTCAGCTCCGGAACATCCACATAATCGATGCCAGCCGACATGGTGGAGATGGACTTCAACTGAGGACCAGCGGCATCCAAAGCCTCGGCGTTGAGAGCAGCATGACCGCCCCACAGGACACCATCGACACCACGCAGCTTCTGCAGGAGCTCCGCCCGATCGGTGGGGACACTGTTCACCAGGATGACCTCACAGTTCTCCTTGAGCAGATCAATGCCCTCTTGGGGCACCTCGGGATGGGTCACCAGGACCTTGAAAGCCTTACCAGTGGACATGGTCTTGTTTTGATTCTGATTCCTGCTGCCCCTGCGCAAAAGGGAGGCATTACTACAGCTGGCAATGGCCAATGCCACAATCAGTGGCAACACAAGCGATTTCATATTCGAATATTTGTGGGGCGTTGCGATCGAAGTCGAGTTTGGAGAGCAACTAAACTCAAAGGCGGAATACGAACCCAGCTTTTAAAAGCGACGCAGGCAGAAAGCCACTGCGGCTGCTGCGAGCCGCAATAGTCGCCGATAAACCAATGAACCTGTTCAGCATTCTGATCCGCGCTCAGTCTCTTTTGTATTTCCTATATGTGTGTGTATATTTTTGTAAATATTCTTAAACCTTTCGGCAGTTTTAAATTCTCTTCTAAAGTTTATAAGACGCACAACTGGTTTGAGAAGTTTTATATTTAGAGACGAGGTTTGAACAAGGGGAGCATTTTAAAATTAAGTCAAAGTTTGGGTTATTTTTAAAGTAATTAAGATATGAGTTTTTAACTTATTGAGGCTTCAAATTTTAATAATTAAAATTCAAGAACCTGATTATATTAGAAATCAATTAGTTTCCTTTACAAAAAAAACTTTAAATGACAATATTTTCTAAGCATATTTGATTCTTTGAAAAAACTTTTGAATAAAATAATATTATACCGGGAATATCTTCACAAAAACACGACCAAAGTCAAAAGGGTTAAACGTACGACTTTCTGACTACTCAACACTATCTCACCACTTGAGGCCCCCATAGATTTATTGCGAAATTCCAAAACACAAAAACCTTCTAGATATGTTCACATCTAATCACTTGCCCACGACACAGAATTCCATCAACAATTTTGACAATTTGATGCTTTTTGGCAAAACTTTTTATGAGGAAAGTGGAAAAAACCCACGAAAATCTGATATTAATTACAATTCATGTTCAATGTCATAAAAAGTTAAAAACTATCTCTCACTGAAACTCTCTTAAATTTTTGGGGGGTTTACAAAAGCACAAATTGGAAGAGAAAAAATATTCTAATTAATGGCATTACTATTATTATTTTTATTAAATTTATTTGTTCTCTGCCACCAAACTCGCGCGGAGAATAAACAGAACTAAATGTTTATTGGAGACCCCATGGGAGGGAAAGCTTTTTTTTTGCAAGTACTCGCGATGTGTAATCTTTCAAAATGTTCTCTTTTATTTCTCTTACCGTGAAATTAGAAATTAGAATACTATACTGCTCTGAGCTTGCCGCACGACTGAATGATCGTTGCCCAAAGCTATACCTTTATATAGCGACCCAATCATATCGCCAAATTATCAGATTCTAAAAAAAGGGGTAAAAACAATATGGGAGTAACGTCAAAAAATGTGTAAAGTAATTGGAGATTAACTATTGATCATAACTATATGAAAAATATATATATTTTTTTAAATTATTTGGCAACTATTTATGTTTTGATAAATTAAATAAAATATTATAGCTATGTTTTTAATATTTGTCGGCATTGTGAAACAATATTATAATAGATTAATCCGGAACCATATAATAGATTAATCCAAAACCGTCATTAAAACATGAAAAAAAAAACAAAAAAATAAAACTAATAAATAAAATCATATTTTTTAAATTTTAATAAATAAATATTAGAGTTACATACTTATATACATGTACATATGTATAGACCCCGCAGCTATCATCCTCACGATCAGTGACTTTCTGATTAAACCTTATACCTGTGATTTTCTTTCTCTATCTTTCGGTGCACACTCTCTTCTGCCATCTCTTTCCCGGCCCTGCATTTTCGTTCTCTTTCTAGCTGCTTATCTCGCCGCATTGTGTCATCGCTTCTTATCGGAGTGAAACGTACATACAAAGAACCAAATGAATCCCCATCGAAACTCTTTGGGGGAGTGAGCAGTTGGGAAACATGCGCGCCTGCTCGAAATACCAGTTGGGGACTTTTCCCATATGAGCGGTGTGCGCGTTCGCATGCCATTTCCAATTGGAATGGGCACCACCGGCACCGCTGACGCTGCGGTGGAGCCACTGGAGCCAGTGGAGCCGGCGGTTGGAACGCTGTGGAACCTACGCCCATTACTATTTCATAGTTCCGTACATAATGCCGTTTTTTTGTGAGCGGATCTGCTCAAATTTTGTCCGCAAAGCAGCAGGCGCTCAGAGATGGCCAACACACATACTACAGACGCCGCAGGCCCTCGGCCACACAGTTGGGTTTGGCCCTCTTGGTTGCCGTTCTCCCCCACCTTCCCCACCTCCTTTTATTTTGTGGTATCTTTTGTTGGCTTTTGTGTGAAAGCGGCAGCAAGAATCATTGGCGTTGGCGTTTGCGACGCCATCAGTGCTGATCATTTGGAGCATTTGTGGCGTATAATTACTTACAGAATATTTTAGGAAGAGAGATAAGGTACATACATATTTAAAATTTCTATTATAAATAATAATGATTTCTTCTCAAATCGCTTTTTTTTGTCTTTTTATTAAAAATATTATTAATCTTCACATAAATCTACTTTCTAGTAAAGTACGCCCAAAAGTAGGCAACAAAAATTTTATTCTGGAGAGCAGAGTTCGTGGTTCTGTTGAGTAGACCTATTATTTCTTCTATTTCTTACTCTTAAACAATTACAATTCATAAGAGAACAGTCCCTCTTTTAAAGTATATAAAGTAATTCATTTAAATAACATATTAAAAATGGTTTCGTTGGTCATTTCCGGTTTATCACTCATACGCAGAGTTGCCACAACGTCAAGTTTTTTTATTAAAAAGAGTAATCTTTATAACTGTACATTTTAGTCCTTTGTAGTTTTAAAATTTCCAGCTAAAAGTTTTATTTTGTAACCACTGCCACCAAAAGCGGCAACTTTAACTGACAATGCAATTTACACCACTGGGGAGACTGTTGCTTTTGGTTTGTAGCTTAGGGCGCGCAAGAATTTTGGATTTGTCGCACGAAAAGTGCTGGGCTCCACCGCCATTCAACCCCAACACCCACTCAACACTCCCCATCTCACTCTCTCGCCCGGCAGACACTGCACTTGTAGCTTAATTGAAAAGGAAACGAGATACCACCAACAAGCGCATGGAGCGAGGGTGGATTTTTTTGTTGTCGTGTCGCTGCTGGGTCGTGTGTTTATTTTCTTTTTTATAATCTTCTTCTTTTTCTGTGTTCGGCTTTGTTCTTTTGTTTCGTGGTGATTTTCTTGCCGCCAGCAGCTCCAGCGACAGAATCGGCGTCGCATATTGGGCGCCTTTGTGGCTTTCATGCTTTCCTGTTACCAAAACACGATGCGTCATTTTGACTGACGTAACCGGGAGACAGCTGTCTATCAGATGCGACCGTCGGCGATGGAGCTCGCTCGCCGGAGTCGCGTCGCTTCGTTGTGGTCGTCGGTGGGGCATTGTCATTTACCGTTACGTCCGCTGCCGCCGGCATTACCAGCACTGACTGCGGTTTGGCAAACAAGCAATCAGAAATCGTTGAAAGTAGACAAGTGAATAAAAAAAAAATGGGCAAAAAAGAAAGCGGGACAGACAATAACGGTGAAAATACATACATATGTATGTATGTACACACATAACTACCATGGTGTGGAGGCAGACAAAGCTCTTGATCTCACTGCTGCATCATAAGGCTTAACCCTGATTAGACAACTTTTGTCAAAACTGTAATTTTTGAAAATATTTTGACGATTTTGCATTGAAGTTATAAAAATAAAATATTCCAACAGTATTATTCCATCCAAAATCCCGACGGGTTAAGGTCAAATGTCAAGGGCAAGTTGCTGGCATCTAAGCAGCATCCAACACTCAACATTTGCAACCTCCTTGCAGTGGCTTCTGCTAGCTTCATATTTGGCGACATGGCAGCGGGAATCACAAATGGCGGCCGAGCGACAAAGCTGCAAAGCGTCGCACTCCGCGCAAGCGCCCTCACTCCACCCAACTCCCACGGCTGAAGAAAAATGTAGCTGTGGGGAGCTCCGTCTGGGACAGGGGAAGTTCCAAAGACAAAAAAAAAGTGGCCAAGCGTCGCCGATTTTTATGGTGTAGGCTCCCTAAAATCGACGCGCAACATTGAGGCAGGTCCCTCTACGCGATACGAGGGAACAGGCGAACAGAGATACAAGGCAGCAAAAGAGTCGCCGCAAGAAGAGAGTGGCCCCAAAACGAGTGAACGAAAGCCCCCCATGTGTGTGAGTAGGAAAGAGTGTGAGTATGCGGGAGAGCCCCAAGTCAGTGGCGGTGCCTACAGTAAACTCAGCACTGTGTTGAGCCACACTAGCGTGAGAGCGGGAGCGTAAGTTGGCAAAAGAGAGGGAGCTCAGGTGAGCCCCAAACTGAAAAGTGACTGAAGAGTCAGAGAGCGTGGGAGTTGATGCGCACATGCATTTGAGTTATGCATACATATTTATGTATGTATTTCCATATGTGCATATGTAGGGCCCCCCTTTGTTTGCACACCCTTTAATAGTTGGGGGTATACTCTGTTGAATGTAATTGTTTGTTAAATATTTGTTTTAGTTTATGATTCTGTTAATTTTTTTAATTTAATTTTAAAATGTAAAATAGCACTAAAAAGTTGTTTTCAAAAGTTTTTAGAAATGTTACTTATTCGACGCGTATTACAAACCCTTTTTATTTTAATAAAGCTTATGTATTTCTGCTTATGTGTATGTTATTTAATACCTGATTTACTTATATATTCATAAAATATTTGTTTTTACAGAAACTTACCTTTGTGAGGTCTTTGAAGGTAAGCCCACTCTGCGTATGAGTGATGCAAAAAACGAGCACTTCTAAACTAATTTTAAGCCATTGAAATAAATGTTAAATTATTTATAAGGTATACCGTAGTCTTTGAAACTTTCCCTCATTGGCAAAACAACTTTCTGCTTAATTTACAGTTGCTACAGTGACGCAGCAAGCTCCCCTTCTCCTTCTGCATGTAATGATGTTAACACTGACTGACATCAGGCACGGGTCGTAATTCACATGACTGTTTGCTGTTTGGTGTTGCCACCGCTACCGTTGCTTACCACATGGGATAATTATGGGAATGTCAGTCAGTGTTTTGTTCACTGCTGCATTTGGCGCTTTGCGAATTGGGAACACGATCGGGGTCACTGGGCCGGAAGAGCACTATAAGGCACTTTATATTCCTTACAAAGATTTTAATTAAACTCAACAATAGGTCTCCTTTATTGTACTAGCCATTTTTTGGTTTTAGGTCTAGATTTGTGAAAAATCTAGAAGATCTAAAAAAAATAGGGGGTCTGTTGAATTGTCACTGGGACGGTTGGAACCCGAATATGCACCTAAAGCCTGTTCCCGAAAAGATGCAAACTCGTCTATCACGATCTCTATTAACGGATTAGTGGCATCCAGCTTGAAAGGTATAGTTTCCTCCGAAGATCTCATTCGTAACACCATTTCCATGTATCGCTTTATAGCCCGAACTATGTTTACATGTTTATTGTACCTAGCTGGAGCATACTCCGCCCCCGAGTCATCCTCGTCGCCATCATTTTCGGCATCGCTGTTCTCATGGCCTGTTCTTTGGTACCAAGCCACCTTTAATCGCCCAAACATGCGTCTAATGCGACGTGTCTTTATGTAAATCGAACGTAACTTTCGGAATCCTTCCATTTCCGTGTGACTACTGCCAAAGAAGCGAGAATACGCGGTGGTCAGATTTCTCAGTAGCCATAGTATGGAGCGGAAACTCTGTTGCAGTATGCGGCGGTTTGCCGCATTGCTGGGTTCCCAAAACCTGCGGCGGTTGAAGCGGTGCAAGGTAGTGATTATTAATATACAGATGTAGCTAATCACGTGAATATTCCGTTCAGGAGCATCGCTGGAATAGATAATGTTTGATCTATCCGGATGGAACAGTTGTAAATAGTGGGGCATGTCAGAAGTACTTAAAGAAGCCGGATCGGTAGACAACAGAGTTGCTACGTAAATCGGGGCAGGCATATCTGGACCGGCTACAATTCTGGGGGATATATCCGTCTCTACACTGGAGGTTTTGAACTCCTCGCTGCGTAGAAGGGGCTCCACTCGAGCAACTGGCTTTATCTTGTTTGGCTGCAAAAATCAGTAAAAAGGTGTTCTTGCAAATACATTTTTTAAACTTACCTCATTAGTATTGGTAGCGACATCTCTGGTCACAGTTGTGACTTTCATTGCCACATCTTTCATGGGTTTCTTGATACCATTTAAAGTATCATCCTTGGTGGTATCAGTAAGAACCTTCATGGTATCTTTCTCATATCCCGAACCTGCCTCTGCCTCCATTCTTCTCCCACCTCTATACTGCTTTATACAACTTAAAATTTCAATACCACAAAATTTTGAAAACTTATACAGAAAAAGCCAAGAAAGCGTTATGAAAAACAAAATCAAATACATAAAGTAAGTTGTGAGTGAAAATGTGGACAAAATTGATTGACTGTTGTTGACCGTATGATAGACGTATGATATCTGAGCTCTCCTACGGAAACTCAAACTAATGCCATACAAACTGTATTTTCAAAGCCTACTTTTTAAATATATTTCAAAAATTGTATCTCGACTTGTATCATACTTTGGTTTAAAATTTCAGTGACAGATCCAACTTACACATGATAACACAATTATACGAAATATCAGAAACATAAAACATGGATAACGACTTATTGTTCCGTTCCTCGATGCACGATTTTTTTCACGATGACGATGACAATGAAGATGAAGAAGAACCGAAGCCCGAGGTCAAAAAATATTCGTACAAGGAGTACATGAAGAAGGTGATGGCCCTGTTTCCATTGCCGGAGAAGCCGCCGCATATGTGTCATGACGCGTTCATCAGCAAGTTGCTGGCTCCATTTGCTTTGGAGAAGCGGCCAGACCGGAAGGCTACTTACGATGAGGGTGAAATGGAGTTTACCTTCGAGAATGCAAACGAGAACTTCCTGGCCAATCTATATTCGACTGACTACAAGGCCCGGGCAACTATGTATATGGCCAGGGCCACCATGATGGCCAGGCGATCCACTGAACGGTCCGTTCTTAGCCTGGATCAGCGCAAATCGGCCTTTAAAACGGCTCAAATGTTCAAGACCCGGTTTCGCAATTTGATATCCGATTTTCGTAATGTTTGCGTCATCTATCAGCTAGTCCAGCTCCAGGAAATCCTCAACGTGATGAGAGAGCATCCCCCAGCTGGCACTGATCCCAATAATACAATTTTCGTCTGGTGTTACAAGGAAAATTTGAAGCGATTCAAGGAACAAAATGCTACAGTATATATAGATATTTTAGAGGAAAACAAACCTCAAACAACACTGGATGACCTTAAGTTTTACGTGGACTTAACCGAGATAATTCGACTGGTACGGATACTGCTTAACGATGTGACCAGGGACAGGGATCTGTGTGCTCCCCGTGGCTTTATGGAACATCTTACGTAGGAGCTTATTATCAGCCTTTTATGTAATTGAAGAACTTGTATGTTTTAATTTATTTTAGTGACACCACCATGGACATTGATAAGATAATTGCTTTGCCATATGAAACTGTAATGGCCGAACATGATGCTTTGGCTGCGGAAAATCAGAATAAGGAAGGGAGGTTTCGAAATCCTCTTTTGAAAGCCAAGCAGATTGCCTTAAAAAAAGAACGTTTTCAAAGCGACTGTAAGTTTATAAATATTTTATTGCTTATTTATTAAAAAATATATAATGTTCCTTGTAGACATCATGCCGGTGGAGACTCGATATAGAGTGAATTGGACCTACGATAAGAAGGAACAATTTCAATTCAAAGACGACTTACATTGTAAGGTTAGTCCTTTAATAAAATATATGTTTGTATTATCTATTCTAAAGTACCTTTTATAGGTTTTCACCGATGAGCTGGAAAAGCTGGCCGAATTAACCGAAAAGGATAACCGGGTGCGCCAGAGTGTCACATATGAATACCTCTACCTGATCGAATCCTACAAGAAGCGCATCAATCAGGTCCAACAGGCCTACGATGATGACATGGAGTCAGCTGAGAACATCGTGCAGGCCACTCGCAATCGCGTCAACAAATGCAAGGAGGACCTGAAAATGGCCATCGATAAGGTGGAAATGTTTAGACGGAAAACCAAAGAGGTCCGCGATAAAATAGCTGAAGAAAAAGAGGCTGAAAGGGCACGACTATCAGCGGTACATATAATAATTGGTTTAACTAAGTATAATGCCATTTAATTAAATTTCTTCCACAGGCTCGACCTTCCAAAAGACCATCTCAGCAAGTCCCTGTCAAGCCCGAAAAGGGTAAAAAGAAGAAAGGTTAAAACTGAAACCAAATTCATATATTTGGAGTACTTTCATAACTTTTTACTCACGATTCATACAACTTTTAAATTTTTGAAGTGATGCCTTAAGGGCAAAGGACTAATATCAAGTATAACTAAGAATGTCTTTAAAAGACCTATTTGGATAACATGAAACTACGTGTGTTAATTTTAAACGATAATAAAGAAATTTACTCCATCTAAAAATATTGCATACTTTTGGGATAATCAAAAGTGGGTCAACATCACTATTTAAACAAAAAAAACTTTAAAAAAAACAATTGAAAAATATTTAAACCTTGTGAAAAATGTCAGAATAATGTACAGTATATCTTAAACCACACAAAACACTACAACACTAGACAACACTATATATCCTGCAGAAAAAAACCCAAAAAAAAAGGATAATAAAAGACACTAACCACAAGACACAATACACAATAGCGTTATGAAGTCACACATTGAGGAAATTATGGAACTTTTTCCGCTGCCAACTAAACCTTCGGAATATTGCCACGATGCCTATCTTAAGAAAATCCTACCAGAAAAAGAAGCAATCCCGAAAAAAGTCAATGTTACGGATGGGATGCCCGGTTCAAAGGATCTTAAAACAAGAGATACCTTACAAGAGCATGAAGTTTTCGATGCAATGCTGTACAGAGTTGACTATGCGGCTCGTGCCACTGTGTATATGAATCGAATGACGTCGCTTTTTAAATCGAGTCTTTCCCAGCGACAGCGGGATTCAATATTTGCAACTACTCTCATGTTTAAAACTCGATTCCAAAATCTAATTTCCGACTTTAGCAGCGTATGCGTAATATTCCAGTTGATGCAACTAAGAGAGCTACTAAATGTAATGCGGGATATACCGCCGGAGGGCACCGATCCCACTAATACGATATTTGGATGGTGCTACAAGGAGAAATTGAGGCGATTCGAAGAGCAACATAGCTCCGTGTATATTGATATTTTTGAAGAGGATAAATCACAAGTTACTTTAGATGAACTTAAATTCTATGTCGATCTGGGAGAAGTTATACGATTGGTAGATGTCCTAATTTCCGACGTATCTTCAGATCCAAATTTTAACAATCTGACTACTTTTAATGATGCAATCTCGTAAGTAAGAACTTGCACTTGTCCTGAGTTGTCCATTTGTCTGTTTCTACGCGACCTAGTCTCTCAGTTTTAAAGCTATCTACTTCAATCTTTGCATACACTCTTCTTTCCTCTGCAAACAGTATATAATGGGGAATCGGTGGGGGAATCGATGCATCGTTTAAGGTCGGATCGGATCAGAATTGGGGAAGATATAGCCATTACTGTGGGCCCTTTAGGGGAAAATCCCATTTTCAAGGGATCCCATCAGGAAAAATGGACAAAAAATCTAAAAAATATTTTGTCTCAGGATTTTGATGCAGAATGGTGGAGAATCGATCTAGAAATCGTTTAAGGTACTCCGCTTGAGAATCGGATCAGAATTGGGTAAGATATAGCCATCGCTGTGGGCCCCTTAGGGGAAAATCCCATTTTCAAGGGATCCCATCAGGAAAAATGGACAAAAAATCTAAAAAATATTTTGTCTTAGGATTTTGATGCGTGGAGAATGGATTAGGTATTCGCTTGAGAATCGGATCAGAATTGGGTAAGATATTTTCATCGCTGTGGTTAGGGGAAATTTTAAGGGATCGCATCAGGAAAAATGGACAAAAAATCTAAAAAATATTTTGTCTCAGGATTTTGATGCAGAATGGTGGAGAATCGACCCAGAAATCGTTTAAGGTACTCCGCTTAAGAATCGGATCAGAATTGGGGAAGATATAGCCATCGCTGTGGGCCCTTTAAGGGAAAATCGCATTTTCAAGGGATCCCATCAGGAAAAATGGAAAAAAAACTAAAAAATATTTTGTGTCAGGATTTTGATGCAGAATGGTGGAGAATCGATCTAGAAATCGTTTAAGGTACTCCGCTTGAGAATCGGATGAGAATTGGGGCAGATATAGCTATCGCTGTGGGCCTTATAGGGGAAAATCCCATTTTCAAGGGATCCCATCAGGAAAAATGGAAAAAAAATCGAAAAAATATTTTGTGTCAGAATTTTGATGCAGAATGGTGGAGAATCGGCCCAGAAATCGTTTAAGGTACTCCGCTTGAGAATCGGATCAGAATTGGGGAATTTATAGCCATCGCTGTTGGCCATATAGGGGAAAATCCCATTTTCGAGGGATCCCATCAGGAAAAATGGACAAAAAATCTAAAAAATATTTTGTGTCAGGATTTTGATGCAGAATGGTGGAGAATCGATCTAGAAATCGTTTAAGGTACTCCGCTTGAGAATCGGATGAGAATTGGGGCAGATATAGCTATCGCTGTGGGCCTTATAGGGGAAAATCCCATTTTCAAGGGATCCCATCAGGAAAAATGGACAAAAAATCTAAAAAATATTTTGTGTCAGAATTTTGATGCAGAATGGTGGAGAATCGGCCCAGAAATCGTTTAAGGTACTCCGCTTGAGAATCGGATCAGAATTGGGGAATTTATAGCCATCGCTGTTGGCCATATAGGGGAAAATCCCATTTTCAAGGGATCCCATCAGGAAAAATGGACAAAAAATCTAAAAAATATTTTGTCTCAGGATTTTGATGCAGAATGGTGGAGAATCGGCCCAGAAACCGTTTAAGGTACTCCGCTTGAGAATCGAATCAGAATTGGGGAAGATATAGCCATCACTGTGGACCCTAAGGGGAAAACCTCAATTTTCAAGCGATCCCATCAGGAAAAATGGACAAAAAATCTAAAAAATATTTTGTGTCAGGATTTTGATGCAGAATGGTGGAGAATCGATCTAGAAATCGTTTAAGGTACTCCGCTTGAGAATCGGATCAGAATTGGGGAAGATATACACATAACTGAACTATCGGAAATGACCCTACTTTCGTGTTTTTGAAGATATCATCTTCGGCACCGCCCAAAGTTAGCTTTCTTTTCTTGATATCATTTTTTTTATAGAAACACTACAGAGGATGTGGACAAGATTATTGCCTTGCCATATGAAAGCCAAATGGCCATATACAAAGGATTGTATGCGGAGAAATTTAATAAGAATCAGGGGTTTCATAACGAACATTTGGCTAACAAACAGCGCAAACTCCGTAAAATCCAATCCGAGATCTATTGTAAGAAAAAAATTAAAATTTAAAATCATTTACTCAAGAATACTTTCTAGACATAAGCCCCATATCAACAAGATATAGAATAAATTGGACTTATGATAAAGCACAGCAAGGTCAATTTTATTTGGACCTGCGTTGCAAGGTAATCTTAACCAATTTCCAATAGAACACCTTATTAATATTAATTATATTAAGGAGTACTCCAACAAGCTTGAAAAAATTCGCCATTTGAAGTCTAAGGATATGAGCGTTTGGGATAGCGTTAATAGCACATATCGGATCTTAATCGAGTCCTATAAACAACAAATCAATACGGTTCAGGAGGACTATGATACTGATATGGAACTGGCGGAGAATATGGTACAACTTACTCGTAATCGGGTTAGTAAGTGCAAGGACGACCTTCAACATGCCAAGGAAACTGTTCAAATGTTTAAGAGAAGAGTTCAAGAGGTTCTTGATAAAATAGCTCAGCAGAAAGAGTTAGAGCGTGTAAGTAATGTTTAAATATATTTAAAATGAAAGAGAAAACATTGTTACAAATTTTAGATTGAAGACGAGAAGAAAACAGAGGTAGAAATCTCCAAAACTGTCCGGAAATCCGATACTAAGAAGAAAAACAGGAACAAGAAAGGATGAAAAGGTTTCAAATGGTATTTAAATTCGTAACGATTTACTAACCCGAAAAAAAATAAATAACATTAATATAAAACCAGAAATGAAAGCTAATTTTGATTAATAAGTTTGCAGCTTAAGGGTAATATATACCCTTACCCTGCAAGGGTATAATTTAATTACAAGGGTAAGAAACCATGGTACTATATTGTAGTAGTCATCCTCAATCCCAAAAATATATGTACCACTTCTAAATCTATAAACCGAATAAAAGAAAACACAAATAATCATTGGCTTTGATAACTTTTTCCTACATTAAAAGGTTTTATTAATTCCAGAAACTAAAATTTGTATATAGATATATGTTGTATATAGTTCTGTAATCTGTTTTAAATTTCTTAGCTTGACATAAAATAGTTTTTGTTTCTATATATGTAGATCCAATATCATTCTCCCATGTTCGGTCTGTATCTCTGTCTTACTTTCTATCTTATACCCCTGTTTACATACAGCATTATCATCGTTCTCACTAAATTAATTGATATAGATACACATAACTACACTAAATACATTATTGACACTCGGTTGGCCCAAAGTGTTTATAATTTTCTCATTTCATAATTGTGATTTTTTTTTTTGGAAGAAATGGAGAATAGAAAACAAATTTTATACACATGGTTTATACACACAAAGGACAAAGAAAATAGCTCACAATATTAAAACTAACAAACTAAAAGTGTAAATGACTTAGGTCTAGGCATAAAAGTTAATTACAAACAACTAGTTTTGCATAATATCAAAATGAAAACTGCTATCAAGTCAACGTATTAAACATAATTCTTTCCTCACACAATTTGGTTACGATTGTTATTTAAAAATTAAACATTAAACATTAAACAAGCCGAGGCTGAGGATGAGGATTAGGAGGCCCACACCTCCGGTTGGGGAGGAGGTCATCTCTAATTGTTGGCAGCATGCGCCGTTCGCAGCTTGGCCCGAACATTCAGATATTCGGGATTCACGTACTGCCGCTCCTCGGCCTCCTCCTGATCCTGTTTCTGGGCCGCCGCCTCGTGCTTCTGTGCCCGCTCCATGATCACCCGGCCCAGTTCACCCTTCAGTCCTGGTATCCCTCCGATGGTTTCCGCCTCCGGCGAATGATGTTCGGCGGCCATATGGCGCTCCTTTTGCTTGTCGTAGGCACGTTGCAGCTCCGATTTCTGGTTTAGCACGCTTTTACCACTAAAAATTTAAGTTTAAATTAATATTTAACTTATTAACAAATTTAATTTAAAATCTACTTACATTCTGGCATTAAACTTGAGCTCTCGATGCAGCTCCTTGCGATCGGTGCTCTCCATGCAGGGATTTATTAGCTTCTTTGGGAGTATGAGGCCATCGGAGTCCGTTTGTACGCCGGTGGGCGTGGCCGGCGGGGAGTTGGTCATGGACATCATCGTTCCGGCCGCGTTCTCAGCCTCGGTCAGACTGTGCCTGAATGCCGTATCTGAAATCGAAACAGAATGGCGAGAGTTCAAAGATAAGTGAACGGATTTGCATTCTTAAGGGGTTATATACAGTTGTACCGCGCAAAAATATGGATTTTTATCGATTTTTTTTTGACACCATAGAAAATATTTATGAAAAATGTTTTACCGACGTTGTTTAGTGCATGTTTCTGGGTACTTAATTAAATTTTTCATAAAAAATATTACATAACAAAACTGTTATAGCCGAATCCCCGGATCGTCTTTTTTCGATGGTGTCTTGCGGTGGACAAGATTTCTCGAAAACGGTTCATCCGAAATCCAAAATTCAAAAAAGTTTAGTTAGTACATTGTATTGTCTAGTCCGTGAACGAGGGATTTTTAAAAATTTTGATTAAAAAAAAATGGCGACGTTTTTAACAAAAATGTACTTTTTCAACGTTTAAGATTTTCGTTTTTGTGCTTTAAAAAGGAGTTTTCAAAAAATTGAAAATCCCTCGTTCACGGACTAGCTAATATCATAATTAATAAGTGGTCAAAATTTGGTGTTGATCGGATTAGTAGTTTTTTAGTAATCGTGTCCACCGCAAAGGTAATTTCCCAAAAAAAAGATTCTGAGATAATCGCGTTTAAAGTTTCAAGGTTGTTCAAGTTTTATATGCAGATAGTGCGCTTTAAATAGCTACAGCTTCAGTTCTAATGCTCCGATCGTTATGAATTTTTGTGAGAGTATTCCCAATAAAATATACTTAAAGAATATGCAATAAAAAAAAAATCGATTTTTTCATATATCACAACTGTATATAACCCCTTAAAGATGCTCTGCTTAAGAGGTACAGAGAGAAAAAAAGGTTTAATTAAAAATTAAAATAATATCTTTAATAAAATCTTTAATTTATAAAAATATTTGTAACCAAAACAAAGCTTAAATGGCATTGAATATTTTTCTTAAAATCCTTGACATTTTTCTTCAGTGCATCTCTGGTCAGTGTCCCCTTGGTTTCCCAGTGGCAAAGTTTAATTGGCACTTGGCCTTCCCCACACAAATCAGTTCGGGCCTTAACCACCCAACAATGCAGACACAAGAGCCACCATAGGAGCCCCCCAAGAAAACCAAACAAAAGACGTCTAAAGCTTCGTTGTCTTCGCCATTTATTAAGGTTAAATATTTCTTCTCATTCATGTCATTGTCAATTTGTTATTACAAAAAAAAAAAAAGAATAAAAAACAGATAGCAGCCAACAAGAGCTGTAAACCGTAAAAAAAAAAAAAGATGAGAGCCCAAAGAACAGCGGTAAAGTTCTTTTATTTTTTATTTTCTTGTTCTGGTTAGTTTTTTTTTTAAATTTGTTTTTACTGAACCGTCACCAACAAACTTCTTTTGTTCACCCATCATATTAACCCACATTGTGGCGGACTAGTTAGTGGCTGTGGCCCGAAGCCCGAAGCTCGAAGCCCAAAACCTAAACTAGATTAATAGGCGATGATAAGGGATAAAGAAACAGCGCTGAAAGGGCAATGACATGACTGAAAATGGCTAGAAGGCAAGACAGCTTTTTTTAGCCTATAAAATATGAAAAATAAATAAAATAAATATAATTGCCAGTTTGATGAATTTTTTAAAGAAAAATGCTCGAAAGCCAAACCCCTTGGCAAAGTGGGCCATCGATTTAAAGACTCGAGTGGGTCGGCTCCAACGAAATTCCGCGAATAAATAAGCATAGCCCAAGTGGGCCAGTAAAAGTCAAGAATAAAAGAAAAATTAAAGGCAAATTGTAAGCCATAAAGAGTGCAATCAGAACTGCATACACCCAAAAAAAAATACCTAAATTAAAAATACTAGTTCACACACTTTGGGTATTTCTGTGAAAAAAAAAGGGTTTACCAACCTTAATTGGCAACTCCGCTCGGCTCAGAGTTCGCGGCCGGCGATCAATCAATCAATTTCATCAGACTCATTTCGAACAATTCAAACAAATTATGGCTGATTCGCTGGAAAAGCAGCCAAACAAACATTCCAAAGATTTATTAAGTCTCTTGTTTGCCGACTCTAATGGCCATGAAGTCGGTTCGACCTTTAACATTGTCAGGCCCTTTGGCCAGTATTATGAAATTGGTTTTATCAACGAATATGCATTAGGTAAGTATAGGGGGGGTATACCATGCACCATCCATATGTGGCACAATCGGAAATGGCATGCAAATCCGTTTTGATTGATTTTTACTTGGATTTCAAATGGAAATTGGCATTCGCCGACATGGAACTTGTGATTTGCATTTTTATGGATGTCTGGTGGGGTCTAGTCTGACCTAATGGATCTATAAAGGGCATAGAATACCCTATGATACTTGTTGCCAGAGTCTTGCCTGATCTAGAAACATTGCCCAATTTAAATCCACTTGAAAGCCTTATGCAATCTCTGATTATGTTTGTTATGCCTTTGAAAATGTGTTGTTTATTTAGGAAAATTGTTGGTGTGGCAAGTGGCACGCACATTCCTTACAGAATACCTCAGTTGCTAGAGGGTATAGCCAACAAGTTTCCACTTGCGCAATCGACTGGTTCGACCCCAACTCCCTCCCATCCAGCTGCTAGACATTTTTTAGCCCCACTCGCCACCATGTGGGTTAATGAGCTGCACATATGTGTGTCTGGTTTGGGTGTGAAATTAACGTAAATGAAATAAATGGCGGGGTCTCTATAAGGGACGTCTGGGGAGTCTAAAAAAGACTTCACTGGGGGGTAATTATATGCAATTTGTTTTCACCGAATGACCGAAGGCGACCCAGTCTCGGGCACATAAATCAAGACAACATTGGGAGTGCATTGTGTTTAGAAGTTATGATATGGCACAGGGCTCTGAATTATTATCAAGTGGTTGGGTTTCTGGGGTTTGTGGTCTCAGCCAAACGAAAGTTTTTCTATGAGGGTTAACCGGGTTAAGGGCCCAACAAGCCATGACAGCTCAGTTAAGTGCCAGGGTGGAGGCTTAAGTGCCTCTGATATTTATTTCAAGTGGCAGGGCCAATCTTTTTATTTTTTGGTTTAAAAGCTATAAAGTATAATTGTAAATAGTGTGGCTTATTTTTCAATTATTTTTCCATTACTGACATAATTTAATATTGTGCATCTACATTACCTATCTTTCTTTAATAAATCTCAAGTTTCTCCAAAACACATTCCTTTGCATAACTTAAGCCCCTCCATTCCCCTCTATAAACCAAAACCTTTTCAGAGTCTTTCAACCTTATCAGCCATATGTGATGGCATGTCTTGACCGAATTTTCTACACTTTTACCAACGAGTAGTATAGTAGTATAGTAGTGTACTTAATCATTTTACACCATCGCCGTGGAAAAGCGAAACAATAAGAGCTAAAAGGCTTTATGGCCTCCACGATTTCACCGACCCGAAGAAGACACTAGATGTTTTGTTTGGGCCTCAAGAATGGTTTGAATAGAGTGATGAATAAATGAACAAATACGTATGAATTATTCACGCAGTTTTTCACTCACTTTCAAATATGGACATGCGGTTCATAATGTTGCTAGAAATATTCGAAGAGGGTCGCTGCATTTTTCGGGGTTCTTCTTTTTGAATTTTTAATCTATTTCTTTAAATTTTTTAATATTTTTATTAAACAATAAAAGCAACTGTTGCTTAAATTACAATTTTTGTTTTGAGGTGTCTGTTGGTTGGTGGTAACTAATAGAGCTATTTGGTGGCTTTTGTTGTCACTTTCATTGGGTTTACATTTTAATAACACAGACTTTCGCTTTCGTCGAACCAATGCGTTCTTATCAACACGACAAACGGCTAAAAACTGCGAGCCGAGAAGGAAAATGCTGGTAACCGGACCTCTATAATCGATTGCTGCTGCAACTGCTGCCTGCTGCAAGTTTGTGCTGCAACGCCAACACACGTAACGCGTTTGGTTCGCTATTTTAGGCTTCCTCATTTGCAGCAGCTAACCAAACACGGCAGGGTTGGAAAATCGGGTTGGCTATGGGTTTGGGTTGGTGGGGTTGGCTTTTGGGCCCAGTTTTCTTATTTTATTTTCTTTCTAGCCGCCGGACTGGCTGACTGGCTTATGCAAGCCACCAAACAACCAACTAACAGCTGACCCAGATATGCATTTCAGAGCCACGAATAGAAATAGAATGGAATAGAACAGAGAATATAGCCGGCGGGTGCTACTAACTAAGCTAAAACGGATTAAATCCTTCGGAAAGTGAAAAGTAAAAGCTCTTTGTTCGTCAGAGAGCCTCCTTTTCTTCCAAATCATGGACATACATGGGGGTTCTTGAGGAAAGTGGTCTCGAAGATTTTAATACTCTATAGACTGGCTCTCATATTATAATATTTTATATAGAATTTCAGCTTAGACCAGAGGCCCTAGTATAGCCTTTCTTAAATATTATATTATTTCTTAAATATTTAATAAAATTTCTTTAAAAAACCTATCAACTATAAGCCACTACCCTTCATTTGAAAAAAAGAACAATGCCAGTCAGCTGCCACAAGGATGTTGCATGTGGCGCGTGACATTTGCGCCATGTGGGTGGTGGGGGGTCCAGTAGCCTTGACCCAAGCCGAAGCTCCTCTGCATCTGCACAAAGGACACGCGCGTGTGTGCAGACCACCAGTGCCCACATTTCCCCTAGAAACCCCAAACAAGGAGGAGATGCAGCAGCCAGCATCCTCCCAGGTAAAGCTTTTCCGGAAGCTCGTCCGCCCCTAGCTAAGCTCCCTTCACAATGGGGGGACAGCGGCCTCCTCCTGGGGAAGAATGTGGAAAATCGACAGCCATCGGGCGCCACAGGCGAGGCGCCCGGCATTCGGCTCATTGTTCCTGGTCGCCTGGTGCTAATTGGCTCCATGGAGAAAATGGCCGCTCCACACACAACACAAACAAAACGGAGCAGACGCCAGGCACCACCACACTTTTCCGGCATTTTCCGTCTCCCGCTAATAAGACGCAAGTCTAAGACATGCCCCAACTTCTTGGCCATCCCAGAG